GCGCTGCTTGCGGCGAGGGCGACCCCCATGCTGCAGCGACCCAGAACTCCGACAGACCCATCACCTCACCCTTCTGAGCGCGGCCATCTGATCTTGGACTGCAGCGCCAGTAGGAACGGCAGCTGGCCGAAGACCCTGCCATTGCCTGGCCCGCTGCCCTCTCGGAATTGCGACGAGATCAAGAAGCTCGCTGTCGCTCTGCTGGTCAAATGTGGATATCGCTGCAACCCGCGAGGCGAAGACTCCGTCGGCGTCCAGCTGGAAGGGCCCCTGCAGCTCTTTGTCGGGGGCGACCTGCAAGAGCTCCTGGATCCCTGCTTCGGACCCCGCGCGTCGGCGTCGCGCGGCCCGTTGGCGGGAAGGGGGCGCGGGCGCCAGATGCCGCCATCTGAAGGGCGGGTGTCGCTCGTGCGCCCTGGCAGGAGCGGCGGTCGATCCACTCCACGAGATCGCGTGGCCCTGTTCTCGCCGGCAGTGGAGCGCTCGAACTTCGCCTGGAAGGCAACGGTGCTCAACCGCGGCCTTCCCTCTGCCGCTGAGATCCAAGCGCGGCGGGCGCCGGCCACCCCGCGCTCAGCGGGGCAGACCCCCACCGAAAAGATGATCGACATGTGCTGGAACTCCCCGGCCGCGTCGGAAGGGCCGGCCAGCGCGGGGCGGGGGGCCTCCGACGTCGCGGCCGTCGCTCCTGGGGCGCAAGCAGCCGCCGTCGAAGGCGCGGGCGGGCGCGGCAGCACTGCGCGGCTTGATCGTCGTCGGAGAGGAGCAGATAGGACATCCTCGAGCCCCTCTCGGCGGCGTCTCCAGCGCCAACGGGGCAGACGTGGTCCCCTAGGTCGCGCCGCCCATCGGGGCGACGCCCCCATCGTCGGAGGCGTTTCTCCCGGCTCCGAATTTCGATTCCCAGAGCATCGGATCCTCCAAAATTTGGAGTAATTCATGTATCACCAATTCTGATGCGTTTACTCCGTTTTGATGAGTTTACTCCGTTTTGATGCGTTTACTCCGTTTTGATGAGTTTATTCCGTTTTGATGTATCATGTTATGTTATGACATGTTATGATGTAGTATGATCGATCCATCGATGGTACATGATATATGATATATGATGTTATCATTGTGATAATTATATGATACGTGTTATATGATATGATATATGTGATATGGTTATGATATATGATATATGCGAGTGCACCATATATTATATATTATATGATATATGATATAGGATATATGATATATATTTTCATGTGATGTTATGATGTTATTATGATAGATGATGTATACGATCGATGGCAACCATATATATACACGTGTATTTGTATGTATGCATACACATAGATGTAGCACATCAGATGTGTATAGTGATGTATGTATGCATGTATATATCGCATATGTGATTTGTTGCGGTGCATATGCCTGTAAATATATGCGTATTCGTGATATGATGTTACGTATACAAGTTGTACTACATGTGCTTATATGTGTATACACGTTATCGCATGCAATGATGTATGTATGATTGTGTCGTGTGTTTGTACCATGGAGCGGTCTTGCACCGTTCCTGGGCGCGTGGCTGAAGTGACATTTCGCTGTGCGGATTATTGTTGTTGAGGGGGGCGGAGCGGTCTTACACCGTCCTTGGGTACGTGGCTGAAGTGACGTTTCGTTGTGCGTTTTTTTGGTTGTTGCTATTGTTGTTATTGTTGTGGTTGTGGTTGTCGTTGTTGTTGTTGTGGTGGTTGCCGTTGTTGCCGTCGTGCCGCCAACGCGCTGCTTGGAACATTGGTGTTCTTACGGTTGTTACCGTCGCCCCGCCCGCGACCCACCGCGACTCGCCCTGCGCCCCGCCGTATTTAGGGGCGTCTGGAAAATGAGGCCCAACGTCTCGAAAAAAAAAAAACAGCGTCTCGAATCCCGAGACGCTTGATGTTCGCTTATCCGTTTTCAGGAGTTGGGCGCGAGGCTGCGCGGATAGTTCAAGGCAGTTGGTTGCTCCCTTTGGTTGCGACATCTGTTGCGCCCACAGGTTGCATTTGAGTGCGTGCGGGCGTTTCTTTGCAATTGGTTGCGTCTGTTTGCCCCATTACGCGCGCCCATGGGTTGCGCCAAGCAGGTCACGCCCATAGGTTGCGCTTGGGTGCAGGCGGAAGACCCAGTCATGGGTAACATTTAGGGCGCGAGCGGAAGTCGAATCAAGTCGTCGTTGCATAGCCCTTCCCAAGCACGATATTGACTCCCAGGGGAAGTTTCAAGGGCATTGTCATCTCGGGGTTTCGCTTGCAGGCTCGGAGGGGAGAGAGGAATGGAGGGAGGGAGGGAGGGGAAGAGAGAGAGAGAGAGAGAGAGAGAGAGAGAGAAGGAGAGGAGGGGTGGGGACGAGGGGAAGGGAAGAGGACAGGACTAGGGGAGAGGAGTCGAAATAGAGGCGTGGCTGCAGCATGGACAGCGTGAGAAAAGCAAATGACTCTAACTGGAGCTCGGCTGAAGTGCGATCGAT